CGTATATACACACACACACACACACAGACACACACACACACACACAGACACACATACACACACACACATATAAGCATATATGAATATACATATTAGATATATATATATATATATATGTGTGTGTGTGTTTATGTATACACATATGTTTCTTAGTATGTAGTTTCACAATTGTTTGTATATTATGTACGTATACGTTTTCGGGGTTTTTGTTTGAGCTTATATCTATAGGTATATATCACCAGCATTCATCTCTAAATAGTTTGAAATTTATATTATACTTGTAATGGGCAGTACAATTTTAATTGTGAATGTTGTTCGTGCGTGAGATCTACGCTCAATCTTTCTCGTGGGACAATCCTCTGTCTATCACTCACATGCCTTCCATCGGTTTTATATCGGCATGGATAATCGAATATGCTGGCGTATCAATTGTACATTTCGTTGCATATGTTGTTAGTACACATCTACCTACACTTGTTGCTTCCATATCAGCTGCACGACCATATGAACTTCAGCATCGACAGGTTCTATGTGAGGCTCAGGACCCCAGTGCAGCCAAGCCGAAACGACGCAGAGCTCGCGTCCTAATGAAACGAGAGGCTGATCTTCAGGTGCGCGTGCAGTGAGTACATGTTAGTAACATCCAGCTGAGATACTCAAATGGCCATGTGTATGTATGTATGTGTATATACATGTGTACACACATATTTTTGTGCATGTATATATGTGTATACACATGTATATTGTATGTATGTATATGTCTGCATATATATATATATATATATCAATGTGTATGTATGTATTTGTATACACGTATATACGCAGTACGTATGTATGTGTATATTATATATGCATATCCATATGTATGTATGCATATGTATATACGTGTATATATGCATATCCATGCATATGTATAATATGTATATACGTATATACGCATATCCATGTGTATATGTATATATGGGTATATATATATCTGGACTCATATCAATTGTGTGGATGGATTTGTATACACATGTTCAAATGCATATCCATGTGCATCTAGGTATGTATATATACACATTCATTTGAATCTTTTGTGTGTATGCACGAATATGCGCATATGTATATTTTTTTTGTACACCCGTGTCTGCTGTGGATAAGCAAACCACTGATAAATTTGGGTTGTTTATTCAATATTCTTCCGCTCATTGCGTTAGTTCTGCCCCATTCCCTCTTTGCGTAAATCATTCATATCAAAAAAGACTCGATCTTGCGTCAAATTTAAAACGACTACTCTGTATCCTCGCAGATACACTCCATGGTTTAAATTTGAACTTAAACTCTGTAATCACGCCAATACACTGCCATGGTTAAAATTTAAACGTATACTCTGTGTGATCACACGGCCACACACCCATGGTTTAGTTGAAAAGTATCCTCTGTAATCACACAGGTACACATCCACATCGGCGAAACGCAAGACTGGGATACCGGAGGAATATAAAGCGCGGCCAAGAGAACCAACATTGACCCCGCAGAGGAAGACGAGGATATCCACTCGCAAGACGATGCGGAGACCGAAACCGACCAGGCACCCATACTCACTGTTTCCGTGGTGGCACTATCTTTCCCTTTGGGTGCCTGGTCGGTTTCAGTCTCCTCATCGTCTTGCGAGTGGATATCCTCGTCTTCCTCTGCGGGGTCAATATTGGTTCTCTTGGCCGCACTTTCCTGAGTGGTATCTATCTCTGGTATCCCCGTCTTGCGTTTTGCCGATGCGGGGTTAGTTCCCGGCGGAGGTGCAGCTGCTTTACCTGACAGTAGAAAAAAAACTCCGTGTAAAATTGTCTACTACTCTAGAGTGTATAGGCAGCTGTAAAACAGGAAGAACTGTCTTTCCGATTCCTGTGTTATATAGAACATACATAGGAATATCTGGGACCAGTTTCTTTCTTCCCATCGAGGGTCTCGGATTTTCTCGTCTTAAAAAACTCTAGACCACTTTTACCCAAAATGAAACCATGCTTTTAAGCTATATATATAGA